AATCCGCCACTGCCGCCGAGACCACCGTGTCCTGAAGAGCCACCTGGTGCGAAGGACAATCCGGAGTCAGAGTGTCCTACTGGGTGATAGTTGTAGCCCAATTTATCGGCAAAAGCCACACTAGCCAAGCACAACACCTAGAAAATAAAATATATTTGATTACTCAAACTCCGGAAATGAAGACCGTGACATACAAAAGTGAATTTAATTTAGCACTTCGAAAACTTACAATGAATGCACGCATCTTGAAGTTCTTTTGCTTTGAAGAATGTTTTGTTTCTGATTTGGTAAATTGTGAAACGTGCTATATATACTGTATCGTTGTGATTATGACTCAAAATCAAAAACTATAAGTCACCAAAACTACAGTTAGATGTGTATATTTGCGTTAGCATCTTCTACTTAAAGCACAATGAAATATTTTACCAACATAATGAGCAAATGCAAGACCTTGTAATTGAGAGGAAGCGGCAAAAAGTTCATCTACAGAAAATCAATAGCTATTTTGCGAACCATATCAATGCGTCGATGACGCAGCAATCTCTAGCTGACCATCACAATATTCACACATAACATTATACTGTACTTCTCTAGTTCCTGTGTTTCAGCTGAATTATGAAATCATTTATGCAAATTCAAATCCGAGACGGTGCTCAACGAACGACGTAGTCAACAACTACATCAAAGTCGATAGTTTTAGTATTATGATTACAGACTTAATATAATTAGTGGCGATCGCTTTGCAAGCTTCTTTATCGCAGCACAAGCAAACGCAAGAACTCAAGCATTTAAGGCAGATGTGCAGTATGTACATACATACATATGTACAAGTATTATGTGTAGATATGGTACATATGAATGCATGAAATATGGTTACATTTACGCGAAAAGAGAAAGCATAAAGTTATAGGGATTGATATGATTTACTTCCGAAACTACCAAATAATTCATTAAAGTGAGTTGGCAGCTAATTAGAAACGCTCCCTTTTTTGTAGGTGGCTGATGAGTATAATGATAAACATTTATTTGCTGTCGTAAAAGTCTTGCACTGTTCGTGTTACTCTACTACTCTACTACTAAATTCACTCAGTTTTGTAGGAGAAAGTTCATTTAATTTTTTCCCAAATAGTAAATGCGTTACGATATAGAAGGCGAATTAAGTACGACAGCTAATTAGAAACAGTTGTTTAAAGAACAAAAATTTCTCAAAGAGTTAATTTTTAACAAATTTAATATTATTGATTACTTACCAGAAGTTATGGTTTAAAATATTTATTTATTTATTTATTAAATGAAAAATAATAATACAATTATTATCTTACGGAGTAAGAAGCACTAGCTGCCAGGGCTTACGGCTTGGTTTAAAATATATTAAAATGTATTATTCAAGTATTTTAATGAAGAAAAGCTGCAGCTGCACACCTACTCTTCGCAGCTTCATTTTTGACATTCATCATTTTGGAACGATGTACAAAGGAATTCCGAATAATGTCAAATGCTTCAAAAAATAGTTTTGAATGTCCTTAAGCATATACAGAATTTTCAAACTATTTTCAATATTGCACGCAAAGAAAAAACCCAAAAACTTCAAAAGAAATATATTTCAAAATTACTACCATCTCCCGATGAGACACAAAACGAGTGTTCCACTGACAATCTACATGAAAATCAAGACGAATAGAGTGTCCAAATATCCAAGAAATGATATTTTTTACCTGGAATGATATTAGTCCACACGATAAGATTGATGGAATTTTAAACAAGGAGAAATACGTCGACATCGTAAAAAAAGGCCTTTGTGACCATGGGCTGAGGCATACGTCTAAAGTTTTTTAATGAAAATTCTATCAATGTTTTGGAGTGGCATGCCTCGCTCAGCACGAATTTTACAAGAACTCTTTTGGATAGTGTGAAAACGAATGAAAACCCCGTTCACTCCCCATATAACGGTACTATTCAAAACTACGAAAATCGCCAATTTTACTCTATATGATTGGTTTTTTAGTATGTGACATGTTAATAGTATGTGGTATTGAAATTATTTTATTTATTTGAATTGGTATTGAGAAGTATATTAAAAATCTGGTCGATACTACCCCGACTGCCATCTACTACATATAATGTGCATCCATAAATACCACTCCATGCACTTTTATAAAAAAATTTTAATATGAACAAAATGTATTAAATTTACTACTTAATTTACCTACTGATCGGTCGTGGCAAGCCCTGAATTTATCTCTGAACATGACTGTGATTTTTTTGCATGATTTGAGTCCACTATCTTTGGATAGTATCGAAAGAACTAACTACCTGTAGTTAATCACCTGAAAAGAAATGCATTCTGGATCCTACGTTATAGAGGTGAGAATATGTTAGAGTTAAAAACTTTGCCGGGTGCTGATTTTAATAATCGTGTAGCGGATGAAAATATGGAAACATTTTTCAACTTTCTATTTGACCGTTCCACTTTTAGAAACTGAAGAAAAATACCTTACATTTCACACCTTTACTTATTCAAGTGACATAGTTTTAATCATAAAAATCTCCATTGAAATTCGATTATGACTCAAAAGGCTAATGCTCGCAAATCAGAAGAGTAGTTCACTCTGAACAGTAAAACATTGCAACATTCTTTGTAAATATTTTTAATATAATCATTAACAATAACAATATCTAGCATGGTTCAACAACAATTTCGAAATATTTCTACATATTTCTTGTGATAGATTTAACAAATCAGTTCTTCAATGAGGCAAAAGTTCAGTTCTCCGAACAATAATCCATCTTAAAGACGGATGATGGAAGAGGGCAAGTAGGAGTTACGGGGAGCATGCACTTCGGGTGCTTGAACTGGAGCTTGGGATGCGA